AGGTTAATGTTTGTAAGAAATGAACTGAACTAGACCGCATGCGATGTACCGATATTGAGCTGAGGGTGTCATAAAAGATTCAAGTTTCTTTGATACAGAAAGGATACACAGGACGGTATATCTAAATTCCGTTATAAACAGAACATCATTATAAACATTGGGAATAACTAACGGGAGTAACCTAATTATTTTGTCAATAAACTGTCTACCGATTTGTTTTATTTATTTATTGGCATCTACTACTGTTTACCCTGATATGTTGTAGATCCTGGAATTTACCCACTTTTTCGAATTCCCGAGGGATGCGATGTAGCAGTCGATCGACTGTATCTGGATTTGACCATTATTGTAGGCAAAGGAGCTCAGATCGGGAGAAGAAAAACTGGGTTGTCGCAGCACAATATCATCTGGTTATTTCAAAACCCATGCAGGCGAAACACAAGGAATGTCACACATGTACGTGGAAAATAAGCATGGGGATAGCAAAGCTTCTTGAAGAACTTCGGGGTTGTTGACTAAAGATTTAGAAGAAGCATCACCAAGTTTAGTAGTTACTTCTCTATCAGGAAAGTAAGTGGATAGTTCAGCAAACAATTTCTTGGGGTATCCAAACAATTCCAGTTTCTGTAACAAACTCGATCGAGGAATGGAATCAATCTCTAAAGAGGGGTCAAGAAAAGCACACCAAACAGACTTAAAAAAGTTGTTCAAACACTTGGAGATAAAATAAATAAGAGTGAAGAATGTGTGGAGACTGCTTGTAAGCAAACTATGAAGGATCATTGATAATGTCTACAGACTACTAAAGGCGTTTGAGGATGATTTTTTCAGGCAAATTAAGGGCTGAAGATGTTAGCGCTTTGGGAGAGAAGCGTTTAGGGAGGATAGATGATTTCGATGCTTAGGCGATTTGTATGATTATGACCTGCCTCCAACAGTCTGGGATAGAACAGATGTAAACTGATTCGTTTACAATAAAGGTGATTACCCCAACTAGGGAAGCGGCAGCAAAGCTGAGGAGTGCTGTAGATAAATCATCCGGAACTGCAGAAGAGGACGAATTATAGCTATTTAAAAGTTTTAACATATGGCAATTTGAGAACGGTTTACCATTCAAAATACAGTGTGACGAGTAGACAGGAAGAGCATCCGACGTCTGACATTGAGATCACCAACATCAACACTCAGCTTCGACCGTGATTTCTTCCTTCCATAGATAACTCTGATACCTTGCCATAGGTGTTTCCTGTTTCCAATTATCAGAATTCGATCGAAGAATGATAGACTTGATCTATTTATTTCAGCTTTTATAGGCCTAGACAAGTGCTTGCCAGCTGAAGTTTTGTGTGACTTGTATGCACGTTCCTTTTGCCGTCGCACCGACTTTGATAGTGGAGAGAATATCCATTCCGTTGAACACATACAGAATTTTACCAGGACAGCAATAATTACAAATGGCATTAATTAAATGAATGAATACGGGACACACGTGAATAGAGAAGAAGGAGATAATGAAAATCACAAAGAAGCTTACCTGAGAGATTCATTGAGAAGAGAAACACTTGCAGATTAGAAAGAAGTTTCAAAAGTGTAATCTAGTGAGATCAGATTAGGAGAAAGATTCATGTGTACAGCGTACATAAATAAGGAGGTTTCGTCTTAGCTGTCGATGCGAGAATGGTGAAATGTTTGTTGCGCCTTCTGACTCTGTCTGACTGATCGCCTCAAACACTCACTTTCAATATCTCAGGAGACCTCAGTTCCACCATACCTTAATTTAATCCTACATCACATCCATGATCAGAGATTGTCGAGTTTATTGCGCTTTGGAAACTCGGAATGCAAATGACACCGATAATAGCCTTGGGCGCGCTGGATTCAAAATCCACTCGGAAATTCGATAAGAACCTCGCCTCATAAACAAAATCAGTATAGCTGCTCCAGATAACCACGAAGGAAACCAAGTCCTGTCAAGCGCAGTTTCTAAAATGCTAAGCAGGAATGCGCGAACCAACGATACGGTGGACTAACAGTGGAGACTGATTAGGGAGACTGCATACAGAAAGCCTCACTGGAACATCTGGAGGAAGTGACGCAAAGGTATAGACTGGATCTCCAACGAATCTCTTCAGCTAAACACGACACCGCAAATCCCGTATCGTTCGACACAAAACCACTCGCTTCACCAGGACATACCAGAAGAGATATTAGTGGCATTCAAAACTGAGGTCAACGAATGCGCTGGAGACCTCGGAAGACTCTTTTGCATAATCCGTGCTATTTTGGGACAGCAATCTCCTACAGAAACCATGGTACGCA